AAACCAACCCCCCCCCCCCAAAAAAAAAAAAAAAACAGGACACAGAGGAAAACACAACAACCCCAAATCATCAGCGCCATTTCACACACGATTAATAGCAGGGGGGTTTCCAAATAAAGTTGCTATTTTAGTTGAGACATCAAACCAGAGACAAGTTGAAATAGTTTCCTTATTTCCTCTCTAGTTTTTGATGGCAAAATGCCAAAGCCATAGTTTTAATTTAGGCGCTCCCTCTTTCTTTAAAGGTTTTTTTTCTCTTCCAACTTCACAAACTGACCTAGAGGGCTTGTGATGGAACGGCGCTGATGAAATGATGTTACCAATGCCAGAAACCTTTCATGATGGTTATCTTCTCACTTTTTAAAGAACCGAATAAAAGGCAGAAAGTGTGGGACAGGCTGGGTTATGTCATTTGAGTATGAGAAGAGCTTGGGGCAATTTTTTTAAAGTGGAGATGTTGCGTTTTTCTCCGTCATCACAATTGACATAATTTATGAAGTGAACTTCCCATCCCGCCTGTCACGGACAATCTGGGCAGAGAGGGATACAACATCCCAGCAGAAAGACCACGACGATGATATTTGACAAAGATTTCTCCCCACTCAGGAATTGAACCTGGGTCTCTCCTGCATCAACAATAGACAGAGACCAACAAAAAGGCATGACACAACATCTTACAAGTAAAACCAATCAACCAGAACACACAATCGTTCAGTCATACACGTTTCAATAATCAATACGTGTACATATGTACATCTTTACAAGTTTGTACACAAGAGAAATGTATCTGTGATTTTATGACTAATCGGCCATAATTGCACACACATCATCCAAGTAAACATTTATACACGCTCGTAGATGTGAACACAAACGTACACACATAATGTTGTTGTTTAGTAAGGTTTTACAGTAGGACTGCCCTAGTTGGAAGGGGGGGGGGGGGGTTATGTCATCCAAGTAGGCATTCATATACACGCCCGTAGATGTGAATACAAACACACACACACATAAAAAGCACAGTAGACATGGAACAATCATGTCAGAAATGGAAAGGGACAAAACCCCTATTGACTTATGGGCTTTGTTCTCATTATTTCTCTTTGACAAAACAAATATATACACACAACAATGAAACCAAACTTCTCCAATAGGTAGGGCAATGCCCACTTTTGGTGTAGCTCAAGATTTCTGGAAACCCTCGAAATCTGGGTTAGCCCACTAGTCCTCAAAAGCGACCATACAGCACAGTAATAAGTCTATGGACAAGGAATGAAAACTTAATTCAAACACAAAAAGGCAGAAACATTAGGTGTCTTACACTCTTCCCTACTCAGAGAGAGAGAGAGAGAGAGAGAGAGAGAGAGAGAGAGAGAGAGAGAGAGATCAATTTAATAATTGTTGTCCCAATGGAAAGGTCTGCATACTTTAAAGAATGGATGTAGCATAATCCTAGAAAAACTATTCTTATAAATGCAATTTAACACCATTATATATATAGGTTTGTGCACAGGCCTTTAGCCCATTATGGGCGGACAAACTTTAAGGGACTAGAAGGTAGCAAAAGAAAATGTTCTCGTTCACTGTGGAACTACCTACTTACAATACACACATGTGCATAATATAATAAAATAATTATGAATCACAAGTTTTCTTTCCCTTATTCTCTCATCCATCAGAGACTGGCAATTTAATAACATATTTTTTCACTCACCAAATTATTCGACAAACGTGTAAACGAAGCAAAATTTTCCTTTCCACAAATCTCTCAAAAACAGGCATACTTCACAAATTCCCTTTTTTGCATAAACATCACACAAACACCATGTCGAATGTCATTTTGTAGATCAATGAATGAAAACTGGTCATTCTGTACAATTTTTGACACAATTACTTATACACATATAAGTTTAGTTAGATAATAGAAAGAAGGGGAAAGTCTACGTTAATAATAGAATAAGCAATGCAGTGAGACTTGGGTAGAAAGAATTTAAGACAAAAGATGGGTGGGGGAAAGAACCCAACCCGTGCTATACCATAGCTGCCAACTAAACTTTAAAAAACCAAACAGACTTTACCTATGTGCCGGGTCAAGAGGGAAGTCACTGGACAGGTCACAACCCCGCCCCCCCCCCCCCCCCCCCCCCCCCAAACTATTTATAAACACTTTTCCACATTCAATTAATTGAAGCAGTTTCATAGTAGTCCTGTACGGAAATATCTCTGCGATGAACTTTTATAGACTTAATTCTCATAACTACAGTATAACACGGATAGGTCGAACACAGAAGACTCGAACTTATGCACCCCACGCATCCGTCGAACTGTGCCTGCGCTCCCGGTTTTTCCTTCTTCTTCTTTATCTTTGTAAGATATCCCTCGAACTACCCGGGCCGGTCCAGACGAATTCAAGCTATACGTGTTATAACTGTACTTTCAAATCCAGTCTTGAAACATGAAAGTTCCTAATTTTTTTTCATCATCGGCAAACCCTTGAGGAGCAATACCAGGAAACAGCTTAGATTTATCTTCTTATTTAAAAAAAAAAAAGACTTCAGTTCTCAGACCTCCAAAAACATGTTAAATATGTTTTTTACACAGTTTGGCAGCTATGCTATACCAAGTCTTGGTTCATCAGAAACGACAGCACATTATTTTTTTTAATTTGAAAAAAAAAAGATCATTCCCCCCCAAAAAAAAGTCTTCTTCTCAATCTACTGGTTTTGAAAATTTGGAGGCCATGAAAAGTGACCTAAACCAATAAATAGTAAATATTATACACCCTATTTGACACAATTTAGGGTCTTCGGGTTATGCTTTTCTGTAAGGACTAAGCACTCGATCATCTCATAAAACAACCCCATACACAGTAAAGAAAGTGGATCACAGAAATGAAAAAAAAACAAAACAAAACAATTATTAATCTTATGAAAAGCATATTCTGAAAATTTATACAATTAATAATGGCAAGACCTTACAAATAGGAAAACTGATAAACCCTGAAAGTTTCTGTATTGTATTATTTCAAGAAGCAAGGGGCCCGACAGAAAGCTATTAGAAAGAAAGTAAGCAAAAAAAAAATGAAAGGCATTGTTAGTAGTGTGTGAACGGTACTCCTTAAATAATTACCAGTGATTGGACCCATAACATATATATGTTACCCTAGAGTGTTGTAACTGTACATGACATACAATACAAGGTTGGGACGACCCAGGGAAAAAGTGCTGGACGGCACAAATAAAACAGACCCCACTAACTACTGAAACAGTTTTCAGAGTATTGATCTGGCCACTTAAGTCAGCCCCGAGCCCGAGGCAAGAAGCCGATTTAGTGTGCTGCCAAGCAGTTTCTGAATAATTCAATTAATTTCTCTAGTCGGTAGAAAGTAGAAGAATGGTCAAATACACATTTATTTATTTATATACATTCTTATACTTACTCATAGGAACTGGCAGAGACAGCTTGGGGACTCACACTCAGCACGTAAATTACTTAGGCCACAAATTTATAGGCCTAGTCTTCTCCCCACTAGCAATGTAATAATAGTGCTATAATAATAAATACTCTAATGCTGTGTACTTGATATTCTGACTGAAAATGTTTCAAGTGGCCCAAAACCCCCAAAAATGTTTGGACTTAAACGACGACAAATGACACAAATTGAAACCCATAGTACTTATGTTCTATAGTTACCGCACCATGACCGTCAGTCTTTATTCTTTGAGGCCATGGTTCTCACACAAATACAAAGTTGCCTATTTCTCAGAATCACACACTTCAGAACATAATAACACTGTCAACAGAGTGTGCTAAACAAACTTAGAACCCGCACAGCTCTGATTTCTTGCGTTGTCTTCCTCATCGGTCATCACTGCAGCACCGCTTGAAGAAGTTCCCGCCGAGCTATTCTCCCTGGCCTGGTACTGCTCCAGACTGGCGCTGACGCCGTACAGGCGTGCCGTGTCGTCCTGCGAGGAGGTCAACTGCTCCGGCGTATTGTAGCCATGACTGGAGCTGCTGGAGCCCCCGCGGATCTGTGAGGTCAGGGGCTCCAACCTCAGGCGTTCCAGCTGCACCGACAGGTCGGGCTCTGTGGTGGTTGGCGGGCTCTCCGACGGAGTTTGCGGGGTCTGTGGGGTGTTGTACGGAGTGGGAGGGGACACAGACTGGGTGTCGCTCGAGCGAACGGCCCGCTGGATCGGAATGGCCTGCCGACCTGGCCCGCCGCTTTCATGGCCATCTGCGCCTGGTCTATCAGAGTCGGGTTGGGCACCTTCTGAGTTGATTTTTAATCCTGCGATTCCTTTACGGCCCGGGAGGGTCACCAGATCACGTTTAATTCTGCGTTTCTTGGTGCGATCATTTCTGCGAGTCTGCACCATGTTAGTGAGATCGATGATGTAGACATAGCCGGCAATAAGCAGTTCGCATGATGCGTGGCCAGCCTTATGATGCGTCTCCAGCTCTTGGGACGTCCGTTCATCGTATTGCCACCAGCCGTTCACACCACCATAAAACCAGCCGTAGCCATCGTCAAAGGTGACAGGATTCTCCAGACTATCCCATTCCACCAGATTGGGCTGGCAAAAGAAGTCCGCTGGGATCTGCTGGCGGCACAAGGCACAACGTGTGCTTCTGTTGGCAACGCCTTTCACACACAAGAAGCAGAAGATATGCATACAGGGCAACTGTACAGGGTAGATACACGTCTGCAAACAAACAGGGCATTCCAGAGCATTGCTGTTGCTTCCTTCCGTATCTGGGGAGAAAAAAAGAAACCTTTTCTAAAATCAATCTACACGTCCTTCGTAACTCCAGGTAGCATACAAATTCATAACACTAACTTCCAGTTCAACATATTCATTATTCTTTTTTAAAAAGGGTCAAGTGGGAAACTGCCTAGAATACTGTCTTAAAATCACTGAAGTTTAAAAGAAAAAGAGACCAGTGCCATACACATCGTGGTCCAGCATTCATGCCAACTGAGGTAATGATGTGCCAACGGAATCTCCCTGAAATTATAGAGCAGGAGAGCAATAGTGTGTACACAATTTTAGCAGAAAAGCTCTCAAATTATCACAAAGCTTTAAAGTTAAAGTAAAAAGCCCTTAAACACTGCAGCCTTAACCTCTCAAAAAGGTAAGATTTTTTTCAGTTTCAAGGTAGTAACATTTATTTTTGGCAGTGAAAAAGAGCAAGACAGATCAACAGAAAAACATGAAAGTTTTTTTTAAATTACAAGTTACAAGTAGGGATTTTCTTTCAAAAGTATAATCTGCAACTGGCTGTATCCTGAAGTGAACTGGCCTACTTACTAAGTACCCACATGTATTTCCATCACAAGATGAGACAGAAGCAATTTTCAGTTTAGAAAATTTTATTCAAACTTGCCGGATAATACCGTTCTATAAAAATGTCCATACATCTCATACACTAATAATTTGCGGTGGATCTTAAGTCAAAATTCATGGAAAGCAGATAAAAATGAACAAGAAAAGGGCTTTATAATTACAATCTGTTGAGTGTGAGATGGGTCGATGAGTAAAATTAAAATAACACCAAAATCTGAGGCTATGTGTACTGCCCTCCACTTCACTATAATAAGTGCGCAGCTTTAAAGGGCATAGACGCTGACCTTTCTCAAAGGAAAATTTCAGCATTCCTTATATTTTAAAGGACGTAGTTAATTACAGGTAAAAAAAGAGTTATAAATAGGGACCAATGACGTTGCAAGTTATCTTGATCTCGTAGAGCGCCTCTTGGCCAAAGATCGTACATAATAAAATAGTTCACTCAGCCAAAAAGGTGTCAGCGAAAGTCTGCACATTGGTTCAGATGACGCTGCAGTCTTTGTTTTGAAGCTCTCTTTCGTTTCACCAGAAGAAGAATAGGAATAGCAGAGTTTGTTAGTTTCATTTATATTTTTATTATAATAAATATTATTATAATTTCACACAAGTAGGGTAACTCTGATCGCAAAGTCCGTTTAACTGGCTCAATTATAGAGGTGTGAACTATCTCGTTATACACGATCTTTGTCTTGGCCAAGATATCGATCAATAAAGTGATGCGGTCCAGCTGAGCGATTATTATCAAGGCCGTGAGCGAGCATACTTCTACTTTATCTAAATCTAAGGGCCGTACGTAGGGAGGGCCGTACACATAGCCACGAGGCTATGCGCACGGGAAGGCCGTATGCATAGCCACAGGCATATAATGTATAATAATAATATGACAAGATAGCTATGCTGATTTGCTTTCACATGTTTGGTGAATGTAATTTTTTCCGTCAAAATTTATTTATCTCATCACCATCCCCATTTCTAACCCCTCTAATGCATACTTATGTTCAAAATTAATCCTTGTATTATATTGGGATGTATTCCCTCATTCAATTTCCTTCAATTTGATATAGATCTATATCATGTTACGTTTCGTTTTGAGAGATAGTTATGCTTCTATGAAGTCATTTTGTTCACCACCTGCATAGCCAAATCGAGCCACATGTTAATTATGTCTAGAAGAATCTAGACCCAAAAAAAAAACTACGTCCAGAAAGAGTTTTACTTTGACTTATGCGCACACCCGGTGTGAAAAATCACTTCCTTTGACTTTTGACACAAAATTAGTCCTAGTAGGTCTATATCTAGAGTCTAACCGCGTATCTGTTTGGGTGCGCAACCCCCGGTCTCCTGCTTTGTTTTGGATAAGAACAGCGAAAACGAGGTCACTTTCTGTGAGCATGCGCAGAATGCAGCTTTGCCGGCTTTGGAGGTTCCTGTCCACACACGTGATTCTACGGTGTCGGAAAGTTTTGCCCCTTCATATTAATGGTTTTCGTAACCAGTATCGGTGAATTTACTAAGCGCTTGAGTAGTCGATTATTTAGCACATCTAGTTAATCTAGCTCTAATGTATCGTAGAATGTACACTTGAATCGATAAATACTATCGCAGGCTGCTTCTTAATGCCCAGGAACATGCCAGATAGGGTTGCGCACTGAAGCAGACCAAATTTGTGCAGTCCGTTTCAGTGTGCAATATCGGCTTTTTTGCTATTTTTGGCATTGATAGTGTGGCTTCTAGGCCCTTTGGTTGTTTTACTTATTAAGTTATTTCTTTATGACCTGCATTGTGCACTGAAACAGACTGTTTTCCTTCCGTTTGGATGCATTATATTGCCATTGGAAGTTGGTTAATGTATTCATGTCAAAATTAATTAATATAATGGAAATTTAATCTCCAAAATGTTCAATTTCTTCTTTTCATGTCTTTTTCTTCTTCTTTTTTGTCCTTTTCCTTTAAGAATACTAGTCTAGGTATAGTCTAATTCTTGTTTTCTTCTTTCACCTCCTTGTGTTCACAACAACTTTCTTTTTCAATTTCTTCTTTTCACGTCTTTTTCTTCTTCTTCTTTGTCCTTTTCCTTCAAAAATACTAGTCTAGGTATAGTCTAATTCTTGTTTTCTTCTTTCCCCTTCTTGTGTCCACAGCACCTTTCTTTTTATCCATTATCATAACACAACAGTGTAAGGAAATCTCCTGTTAGGGGGCGCACAGCTCCCAAAAAGAACACGCCTCATTGACCTTGGCCTTCCGTTATGGTCAGTGCAGGAACTACTTGCAAGGAAAAGAAGACAAAGCCAGGATAGAGAAAGATGAAAAGTGTCAGAAAAGAGCTAGACCTAGATCTAGATCTGTAAACATGGTACTACTATTGCGCACCCAACCAAACGTCATATGTTGCACCAGTCTACAGACACCTTGCGCATTAACCAGACACACGTTACCAAACAAACACCACCACAACATATAGGAATTTTAAACTGCTGTTACAGTAATGCGCTACACCGTATAGAGAGGAAGTTTTTCTAACTTCTGGTGAAAAAATCATGAAGATCGACCTGTAACTTCCGGAATATCCACAAAAAAAGATCGTTTACTGTATATCGATTGACTCTAGATCTAATTCTAGTTTTGCGTGAAATCTCTCGACAACAGTTATATTATGTAACCTCCTTACACTCACATTGGTCACTTAGAAGCCGAGTCCCAATAAATAGATCTAGAGAATCTAGATCTAGAATCTAGATTTCTAGATATAATATATTTTATATAAATCTATATATCTAGTCCGAATAAAGCTGGCCTTTGGCTTTGGGTAAATAGGATTGACATTTACTTGACAACAATTGATTTGCAAGGGTTTTAGTGGCCATTTAGAATCTATGTGTGTTTTGTAGTGTAGCAAAAATTATGGCAGTTTAGCCCCCAAAACAGTAGCCTACTCAGTGCATCAGGTTGCAAGTCTAAAAGTAAAAGTAAAAATTTAGTTTAGTGAAAATTTACCCAACTGTCCCGCCCATGAGTCTGCCAAACTACGGCGTGTCTGAACGGAGCCTAACTTTATCCCTGACCACACGATGCGTTTGATTGACGTTAATATTTGGTAGCACTTTATGAGTGTACTTTCAAATTAGACTCTGTTCTTTTTTAAATCCAATGCAATGAGCCGGCATACCACTGTTCGCATTTCGTTGCTCCTCGCCGTCTCTTGAGCCAGTTCCGTCAATACAGGTCTTGTCCGAGGCGACCTGGGCTTTGCTCATGTCACAGTCACCTTCTTCAAGATCAGAACCACTTAAATCCTGGAGACAAAACGTACTGTTATCCATTATAATTGTAGAAAGAAAGCACTTCTGAAATCAACTTATAAGTGTAACAATTCAATAGAACAGCATCATGTCATCTGCTTATGGACATCAACTTCCCATTTTCATTCTTCCCTTTTCACTTGACTGCACCGTGCCCGGATGTTTTTGTTGATTGTTGCCTGCGTTAAGACTTGGCCTCTGTCGGTTTACAATAACCGAAGCTCCATTGAAATAAACACTTTAAGAAGTTGAAGTTGAGGACCAGAACTAAATTACACTAATTGTAAAATATATTTACTTTTGTAGTGAATTCAGCTGTCTCTAAAATAGGGCAATATCGAAAGTGAAGAGTCAAAAATTAGAAATCATAACTGTTTTCTGACTTTGCTCTATCTTGGCGGTTTTTTATTGCCTGGCAATATCTGGCTGGGCCAAGACCAAGGGCAACAACCTCGATGCACAATCACAATTCTAGTGTAGTATTGTCCCTTTATATTTATCCGCGTATAATGTTTCTTCTTACCTTTGACCCCTAAAGAAATAATCATGTCACGGTTTGAAAAAATATACATATATTGAATAATGTATTTGTATGTTTTATTGCTTGTGCTTTAATCATATTTAAGAGATAAACAAATTCTTAAAATTTATTCACAGGTCAGTACTATATTTCTTTTAGAGATGCGGAATGGCACTAAACGAACTTGGTGAAGGGGCGAATGTTTTCATCTGTCACAGCTGAGTGGCCATGACGTCACGATTTATTGACCATTTTTGTTGTGTTGTGACCGAGGCAGCTGATAACGAATAAAGACAGAGGGTGACAAAGAACAGGAGGATAAAATTGGAAACTGTGAAAGGAAGTAAGGCGGTGACATGGGGAATTGTTTCAAATCTTCTAGCAACGACGACATTTCTCTTCTTCGTGGGAATGACCATCATGATCCAGCTCTTGAGCCAGCGCCCTTTGTTGAGCCCCCTCCTCCGTACCGACCACAGGTTTGTTGAAGATGATATAATGATAAGCTTCCCTATTCCTAAAGTGAAAGATCTCCCCTACTTTTCTTTTTCTAAAGCGTGACCAATGAATTTATAGACTTCACGATCGTTTTGAACTGTTTGTGTTTCGGAGAAGAATTAAAATATCGCTATTTGCCCGAAGAAGTAGGCCTATTATTCCTATTGTTGATTTTAGAGCAGTATGAGTATGATCAGTGAAAATCTCGATACGACAAACAAGGTTCTGTTCCTTGTTTGAGTTTGACTGGCGACGTTTTATTCAACTTTGAGACATCCTGCTTCACATGCAAGAAGTTGCCACAGGAACTCTCAACCGAACAGGTCATATTATTGTAGCGTTATTATGAAGATTCAAGGATTTGGGCCAGGGTTACTGGCTGTGATAGGTCTCGGAGACATGCGGCCAAACGTAGAACGATGTAGCTGGCTGAATGGCTGCTTAAATTTTAGTAATGTGATGTCATCACATCCTGGGATACCCAGACTATTTTAGAAGACAGCGGAGATACCAAAGATTCTCTACTACACTATACACTACAAGATCTTTGGAGATACAGCATGGAACGACATGTTGGGTCTGTGGCTTGACCTATATTATCCGCATCGATGTGTTTTGCACGATAAAATTTCACACTTGCGGCTAACTGCAGCATGTCAGCCTAGCTGTGGTGATGGAAGATCGTTTAGATCATTGATGCTCAGAACAATACGAACGGTGATGCTTGAAATTGAAACACGGTAAACGCAAAATTTAGACAATAAAGCGCGCTAAAATTGTCGTAAAGACGCTCGTACTCACATCAAGTATGATGTATTCCTGTATGTACTATAATTATTTTAGTTGTAATATATATATATGTGAAGCATGTTGACAAAATGAGTTACTTCTCGCAATCCACAAATGCAGATATATTGACTAAAAATTGACATAAGGGTCAAATTTGTAGATTTTCTATTGATGCCATATTTTTTAACTATAACCTGTCTTTTATTTGTTCATATTTATAAATTCTAAAAATTTCACTTATAAACCTGATGTGTCTATTTCTATAAAAGGCTTGAATCCGAGAAGTAACTCATTTTGTCAGCCCGCTTTTCACCTATTTATAATATAATCATATATATATACATATATATATATATATATATGCTCTAATTTTATGATGAATTGAGACAAACGAGGTGGAACGATTATCTGGAAAGGAAAGACGTCGCCATAATCAGACAGCCACAGGAACTTTCAGTATGGATACCTTGCGGGCTTTGGTGCTGGGGGGAACTGAGCACTTATGGACCTGTCCGGTGTGCAATGACGTTGTTGCCCTGGACAGGACAGGACAGGACAGGACGAGGTGGCGATTCATATCTGAAATGTCACACATATACATACAGCATTCAAATGGCTCTGCCATTCTTCATATAGCTATAGATGAGTTTTGTAAAACTCGTGAATGTTGTATAGTTGAGTCAAATTGATATATCAGAAGGTTGTAAGTCTCATCGCAGTTGCAAACCGTCTCCTTGAAATACTAGTCTCTTGCATAAAAGTTCTAAATTCCATGATGTTATCCCAAAGGATGTTTCTAAAATTTTTAGAGATATGAAGATCCAGCCGGGGGCTACATGTTCTGAATGGAGACAACACAGAGTAGTCTGTTTCGGGTGGTATGTGGACTAGGATTTGGTCGCTTTTAAGGACAAGTAGGCTAACCCAGATTTCAGGGGTTTCCAGAGGTCTTGACCTACACCAAAAGTGGGCTTTACCCTACCAATAGGAGAAGTTTGGTTTCATTTTTTCGAACCTGCCTTAACGGAAACCTGTATAAAACAGAAACCTGTTTTAACGGAATCTCCCCACTCCTCCCTTGATAGATTTTTCTTTAATTACCTGTATCAAATGGAAACCTGTCCAACGCGGAAACAGAAAGAAAAATCCGCTCCCTTGCGAGGGTTTCACCTGTCTAAGACGGAAAATGCTTGGCCTGCTCAGCCCTGATCTGAAACAAAATTGGCAAGTTTGGTTCCGCCGGCTATGCCCTAAACTTAATGCCATGGCCATGCCGCTATGCGAGGAAGGGGAGTAGGGGTGCAATTTGGGGGTAGATGTTACCCCATCGTGTGAGCCCTGAGCGATGCAGATGGTCAGGGTAGTGTGGGTGTGAAATCTCACGATTGCCTGTGAGAGTGCTTGAGTAGCCAGCCACTACAGAAACTTTCCTGGGTAGCCAGAAGCCAGAGGTGTGAAATTAGTTTGACCAATGCCTGCCGTTCTGATCGTAGGCCAGCCGAGAAAAGAGTTCCTCGAATCCTTGTTACATGATGGCAATGAGGGGTGGCATTGGTTGACTGTGCTTGTTACACCGATGGGTGGGGCTAAGGGTGGAAGCAAAGGAGATGATCAAACGTTTCTGATTTTAATAGGTCAAACAGTGGTCCTATGAAAAGCAAGCATTGGTGGTCATTGTATAAGTAAGAGTGACGCATGTCATTATCAGACAGGATAGCAGGTGAGAGGTGTAAAGCTTTGACCACTGCTTGCCGATCGAACAAGCAATCCTTGATCCCACCAGGGTAGATGTTACCCCATCATGAGAGCCCTGAGCGATGCAGATGGTCAGGGTAGTGTGGGTGTGAAATCTCACGATTGCCCGTGAGAGTGTTCCAGTAGCCAGCCACTACGAAAATTTTCCTGGGTAGCCAGAAGCCAGAGGTATGAAATAAGTTTGACCAATGCTTGCCGCCCTGATCGTACGCCAGCCGAGAAAAGAGTTCCTGGAATTGTTGTTACATGATGGCAGTGAGGGGTGGCATTGGTTGACTGTGCTTGTTACACCGTTGAGTTTGGCTCAGGGTGGAAGCAAAAGAGATGTTCAAACGTTTCTGTTTTTGATAGGTCACACAGTGGTCCTATGAAAAGCAAGCACTGGTGGTCATTGGATAAGTAAGAGTGACGCATGTCATTATCAGACAGGATAGCAGTTGAAAGGTGTGAAGTTTTGACCACTGCTTGCCAATCGGACAAGCGATCCTTGATCCCACAGGCTGGGCCTTTGAACCCCTCCCCCTTCCACCTCCCCCTAAATTCCCCTGTCTAAGATGGAATTTTTTTTCTGGCTCTCTTGCGATTCCATCTTACACAGGTTCGACTGTATTTGTTTGGTTATAGAGAAAACTCTCCTTAGGTTGTCTTTTAAAGAAACTGAACAAGGGGCAAAAACTTTACCTTCAATTTGATCAAAACAGCATTTTTCGGGATAGCCCCCTTGTGCTTAAAAGTGACCATTTACAATCTATTCTAATGACAGATGAAGAGTAAGGCCAACTTTGAGTTTCTCTAAGTAGAACCATCTAATGTATCATGAGGATGTTGGATACTTATGTGAAAACAATATACATCCTGCTTTCATCTAAACAAATACATTGAGGTTTTGAAGCTCTTCCTGCTTGAGAAAAGTCTCGAATGTGACTCCCCCAAGAGTAGAAGAAGAGTACTTGTCAAGTGTACGACCTACTCGGAGAATATTCCTGTCCTTTCTAGTCCAATTGTGTACATTTGGCCTTGTGTTTGCATAAATAAGCTTATACAATGAGGACCATAGGGAACGTTTTTCATGTGGGTTTTTTTCATTATATCATAACATCAAATACTAGTAAAGTGGTGTCTGCGTAACAGCATCCCATTTGGGAAGCAGGCCTTTGTTACTGCTAGGCAGGCGGGTGTTGCTGCTTACTGAATTTTCAGGGGGTGGGGCTGTAAACTTGAAAGATAATGATAACCTTAAGGAGTAGATAGTTATATATATTGTAACCATAAAAATAGTAACCGTTTGTCGAGTCAGTTGCTTGTACTGCCAACAAGTACCTTTACAACATACATCTGTGATCCTCCAGAACAGCTGTTTAACGCAACACATGGCTCGAGAATGCGGTTACATAAACCAGGAGAAAAATGAAATGCTGCCAAAGGTGACTCCCAAAGCTTTTTTTTTTTTTTTGTAAGTATTTTACGGCGCTCACAACTGCATAAGGTCGTATGAGCACGTGGGACACGTTAAACTTTCAATTTGTAGGAAATTTTGAATTTTGCGGAGGTGGCGGTCGAAGCCTACTCTTATCGATTTTAGACCACTGAGGGATCTTTAACGTGCGCTACTTGCATAAGGGACCCCTGAGATTTTTCGCCCATGTCCGAGAAGGCTAGGTGTAGATCTTTCCTACCATCAAATCAAGGGTGTGGCTGAAGGACAGCAGTAAGAAGGAGCCAAGGACTAGCAGTAGAAAGGCTGTACAGAGTCAGGAGCCCAGAGGAGGGGGCAAAGGAGGTGAGGGGGTGGGGGCAGAAAGTGGAGATGAAAGCAAACGACAGGACATTACTAGAGAGCACGGAAAGGAGGTGAAAGGAGACAATTTTAGAGCAGAAAATTTTTCCGTCGCTACCCGGAGTTCGACCTTTGAAAGAGAGGTGAACATCTTTACCTCTAGGCTATGGGATCCCCTTCTCAAAGCTTTAGTGACCTTGGAAACTACAAATTACATTTTTGTGCCTTTGTTCTATGTTTTTCTATGAAATCAACACAAATCATGTTTTTTCAATAGATATCAAAAGTGTTGAGCTTAAAAAATAAACCAAAGGGGGAGACATTAACATCTCGAGTTCTTATGCACAGTAGAATTGTAATTTTAAATGGGCTGATTCATCAATGTCGTGCTTATAACTGTGCCTGAACTGCAACAGGGAACTGCTGCTTTTTCTTTCCTAATCCTTACTATCATAATTTTTCCTTTACTTCTTTTGTATGTTTGTCACATTCTTGTGACCCACTATTTCCGGGGTGCCGTGATAGTGGAAGCAGACTTTGTACTGTTGAAGCTAGAGAGGTGAGCAGAGTAAGTCTGATTCCCTGTAAGGATTTCTCTGTTGACATCCACCCCTTGACGCTCATATGACCTTATAATGCAGTTGCAAGCGCTGTAAAACCTCTACTAAGACAACAACAACAAAATAATTAAACAGAAGTTGCCTAATGGGTGAAAAAATTACCATTTCGTAGATTTCATTATTTTGACAAGCACCTGATTTAACTGTGATGGCACACGTATTTCAAGTGAATATATGTTTTGTCTCCATCCTGACTTCCAGCAGAGAATGCCAATCTTCCACCCCTCTCCTGGGGTAAGTCGGCCGGCCAATCAGCTAACAGAGGATGAGCAGATCAAGATTGCGCAGCGTTTGGGTCTTATCAATCATCTGCCAACTGGAAAGTACGATGGAACCAACAAAAAAGCTAAAGAGTAAGGGATGCTTATTTGGATTCTTTTCAGAAGGAGCATGACTAAATTGAGAAGTAGAGGCATGGCAATGTTAGAATTATTTTATCTTTGGTTTGATCACAGTTATTGTTCATTAATGAATTTGTACTTGGGTTTATGTAACACGCCTAGGGTATGGTGTGCATTCAAGTTGGTGCTATAAAAATGATCTACATTGTTATTATTATAAATTGTTAATTTAACTATTATTATTATTGACACTTTTGGGGCTACGATTTATTACAATGTGATTATATATATATGGCGTATGGGTAAAAACAGTGACGTATCGGTGCGTTGTGCAGAAAGAGTTGTTTTTTTTTTAACTTTAAAATCACAAAATGTTTGGGGTCCTGAAGAATGTATGATATTATAATACAAAATTAACACTTGCAGGTCATCAATTCTTTATCTCCGAGTGGGGTAAACCCATTATGCTGTGGCCCTTTTTTGGTACTTAATCTAAAAAGGACGAAAATGTCACTAAATTGGTCCTTAAATCAAAACAAGTGAACCTATTTTGATAGTTCTTCAAGATCTACTGAATGAAATCCTGAGAAAACAGACCTGTTTTAGGCAATTGCTCAAAAGTAATTTGATTTTGAAGTCGTCGTAAAGGTATGTGCCCGAGTGGCTGTTAATGGCTTACCACCAGCACAGCAGTTCCGGCCGAAAGCGCTTGCCAGAGATAAAGAGTTAAAGAGGCAGCATCTGTGAGTTAATTTCTGTCTGTGACTAGACCAAGCCGAACCCCCAAGCAGCAGCTGCGTGGTGTTCTCTCTGTTTATTGTTAAGACGAAGTCTATGAAAAGGTAGTGAGTTACAAGGTATCCTTTATTAACCCTTCCAGCCCCATGCACGTATATTATCAGCAGCGATTGTACCTCCCACTGTCCCAAGAGCATATATATTCTCAGTTTCAAGGGGCACTGAATTTGGGTTTTTTCAAAATGTGTGAGCCTACTTAAACTTTAATTTTCATAATATTTGTCCATTTACCTTTAAACATTGTTATATGTTATTATCTAAAGCTCATTGCATAGGTAGTGCATCGCTTTTTAGAATGCGTGTCTCTTTTTCTGAAACACTGCTGCATTGGCTGGGACTGGGGTTTGGGAGTGCATAAAAATGGCTGCGGCTGGAATGGTTAACTCTTTGTCGACGTGCCAGACGCATACATCTGATCAGCAGCAGACCAAAGCCAGTGTTGTATCTCGTTTGGAATCATTGTACACAAATCAGAAACTTTTACACGAATTTGCATGTTTCATAGCTTGGGTGTTGTTGCCTGTCTTTTTAACTTTCAGATCAAGGAAGAAGGATTTAAAGTATCTATATGAGTAAAGAATGTATGCCTCTTTTTAGATTAAAGTAGCCCAAAAACTACACGTCTTCACACGTGCAAAATGCGTGTCCTCTATGAGTTAAAGTAAGATGACTCTCGACTGCTTTAAAAGTGTCTTATTACTGGGTGAGTCGTTTGGAACGTCTTTCGTTTTGTAACGGTGTTGGGTTTGTACGACCCAAGAGTTGAGCAGAAATTAAGCATGTTTCACTCTTGTCGTGGTGTCTCCAGGTGTGTCATCTGCATGAACGAGTTCGTCTTTGGTGACGAGCTGCGCTACCTTCCCTGCATGCATTGCTACCATCGAGAGTGCATCGACGACTGGCTGATGCGATCGTTTACCTGCCCCAGCTGTATGGAGCCAGTGGACGCTGCCCTCTTGACGACCTACCAGACCAGCTGATCTCCAGATTGGGTGGCATTACCATGATCAGGTTTTGTAACTGTCATTTTTATGAATGAATTCATTATCTGCATTGTATGATTTGATACTGGATTATTTAGAGGTTAATTTGTCTGGATCGATAACAACAAGAGGTTAATTTGTGGAAAATGAAGCAGTGAAAAGTTTTTGTTTTTTTATTTGAGAAAACAAAACTATCAGTTACATCTTTTGGTGCATAAAGTGAAAGGATCAAAGTAATGGACTCTCAACTTGTTTTACCTAAACGTTCTGTTCGGTACACATTCTATGAAAATGTTTGCTTGGATAACATTGTATATAAGCAGATCAGAGACTCTATTTTTGATGAAAATCAAGTCTTATAAGAAAAAAAAAGTAAACTCACGCTACAAGCTTTCCACTAATCATTAATAGAAAGTCCCATTTTTCTGGGTATATATCTTGTATGGCAGCAATTTGGCAAAGAAGAAAAAATCAAAACAGAACTGTTGAATCATAAAAAAAAGTTTGGAAGGTCATGAGCCACAAACTAAATGATGACAGCATACTCGGCAACATCATTGTCCTGAGAAAGTAGTGACGTCTATCACAAAAGACTGTCTCCATCCGCTGAATCCTGCTTGTGGACTATCTGGATGAAGCATGGTAGCAGGCTTTTCTTTCTAGAGTAGCAAGGATGGACAGATAGTAGAAGTTCCTCTATATCTCCTTCCATCAGGCTGACGTTGGAACATTCTGCCATGTAAAAATAAAAATGTGAAATATGAGGGTAATCTTGTTCACATGAGGTTACATTTACTTGCTTTTGTGGGAAGGTTTGCTAGTGTTTTTGAGACGCGTGTGTGAGTGATGCGGATGTATTGATCGTTGGCGGACAAGCTGTTGTGAGTGAGTGGACTTGGGAAAGAAAGAGAAAAAAAGGGGATGTTTGTTGGAGTGGGGGGTTGTCCATGTACAAAGAATATTGACTATTGTTGTACACAATCAGGACTAATCTCTCATAGCAACGGATCAGACTAGTACTCCAATAAAATGGGAGCTGCCCAATGTTCTTTCTTCCGTTGTAGAACCCTGATCGGGATTTGCATAAAATCCTTCTTTTTTTTGCTTGAATACCGTTTTTTGTCGGGTCTTATATGACTTATTGTAGATTATGTGAAAATACACATTTTTATTTTCGCATTAGGAAAGTTTGTGGTACTCATCGTAAATGATATGAAATTACACCTTTGTCTTTGTGTGTATTTACAATATGTACATTTGTTTGCCACGCTCGGTTTGTTACATAATCTTAAACTACCGGGGTTCTAGAGGCTCTGATTTTTTTATTTTTTTTCCAAACTGCTATTTTTTCTTAGGAGGATTCTGAGTAAAACTCCCAATTTTTGGTCAGGTAGAGGTTGACAGGTCAGTTGTGAGAGCAATAGAGTCTTGTCATTGTCTGCAGTGTCAGCTTTCATTTCCTGGGGGTTTATCTAATGTGTGTGCTTTCTGAAAGAAGATAATGATTTTTCTTTCTTTGTGTGGAAGAGTGAATGAATTTTTAAAAAATTGCCAGCAGAGCAAGAAGATTTATTGTATAAAATTTCAGGAAATGTCTGTGATTCTTTTTCTGTTGCATTGAAGCTCATCAGAGTTTTGAAGTTTTGTATTTTTTGGTTTTGTTTGTTAGGTTTTTTTCTGGAAATTCACGTCCAGTTTTTGTCTCCCTCAAGACTTTAACTGGTAAAAGTTTAGGGGAACTATACAATGGAATGTCGTGTCCCAATTAAGCCACAAATGTACAAGTCTCTGTTAGATTTGCACCCGCCATGTACTATTTTGTGGCTTGTACTTAGAAACCATGACACACACTTGGCTCTGTCGGCCAAAAGGAAGTATATCTCGGCAAGCTTTTCACTTGTTCTAAGACCCAAACGTAAAACTTTTCAGGAGAGAGAAAAAAACTGTTGCGACAAATTCATTCTTTTAACAATTGCACCTACATTATTATGTATCTTTTCTTGCTTGTTTCAGCATTTAGAATCTATTCAATCTGAATTGTGACCCAAACACATGCAACTGATACCACTGATTAAGGGTCTAAAAAAAAATTTTCCATCCCAATATTTGGGCTTAATGCAACTGAACAGCTGGCCAATGATATATTCTTACAAAAGGTTGCTTTTTATTTTCTGCCATTGTCACGCTTTTGAAAATGTCTAGTAATGTACTACATTCCCTCCTCATTACATCAGAGCATTTAACATCAAATATATAGCCTACATCTTTTCCATCATCGTCACCCATCTTACTTGTTTGAAAGCCTAGAGGAGCCAGGGCTCAGAAAGGTGAACAATTCTTTTTTTCCATCCGAGAAATGGTACAGATGTCCAGTTGTGCTCGTTTTGTGATACATCATGTACCGTCAAGTGTATTTATTTATAAGATATTTTGTTTGTTTATTTATCATCCAAAAGAACCACTACTGAAGCTATTAAAATGGTAAGCCACGACCAGGATTGTGGTCAGTGTGTGCTTTTGATTATTTTTTAAAAGATTTTTTCCCCATGTCTTTTGATTTTCCTTTGACTCAATTTGGTTTTATTATGCTTTCATGTACACACCTTCTTTTTCATTCTCTTTTTTTGTTGTCTTCTCCTTTAGTTGAAAGCTATGTTGTTGGTGGTGAGGTAGACCTTTCTTCGTGTTCGGTGATGACGTCTTGAGTGGTTTTTTTATATATCTCTCTCTTCACTTGTGTCATTCTGCAACTTCTGATGTTTTCCGTTACAAGTTGAATGATGATAAGGACTGAAAGTGAAAACTCTTTTCTTCATTGGCTTGTCTCCTTGAATTGGATACAACCAGGGGTAGTTCATTTCTTGTGTCAGGTGCTCAGGTCTCTGTGTACTTTGTTCCTTCCACTCCTCCCCTTGTGGGATGTCGCGTCGAGTCATGCGAGTGTCTGCACTTTGCCAACACTTTGTCTGTTAGGCTTCTGATGCATCCTCGGTATCATAAAAAGTTCTGCTTCCATGCCTGCTAGAGAGAGTTCTTCATGTCTCTGTCACTCTCACCAACCTCATTTGTTGTTGTGGGCCTGCGTTGACACCTGTTATTAATTATGATTTTTATGTTTCCACCTTTGATTGATCTCTTATCATCGAAATATCAGCAAAATGAACATCAAACAAAACTTCTTTCATTTTCAAGGTCTTATAATGTATTATATTTTTATGGTGTTTGATGTTTCTTTTCAATTGATTGAGCATCAAGTTCAAGGTTATCAAAATGTTACCCTGTATTAATGTGAAACAATGATCTTCAAACAGGAAGGCTAAAGCACATTATTTTGGAGATCCTGAATTGTATTGTGGATTTGTTTGTGGTCGTCCTTCAAGTATGTACTGATCTTGTCAGTGTCTGATTAACACTTTGCCGTCACATCTCGCCGATCGGCAAGAACGCTGAACTTCCGCTTTCGTCACAAAACACAGATCGGCGATGTTTACCACCCAGTTTCTTTGGATTTCCCCCAAAGTACTTGTGATGGCAAGTGTTCTTACTATATGAGCCTTGTGGTGGCAAAGTGTTAAATAAAAGCCAGCAGAATAGCAAATGAACGACAATGTTGTATACAACTCCCCCTACTATGCAGACATCTTACTTAGACTTTGGTGATTGTTTTTACAAATTTTTTTTCTTCTTTTCTATGGAATGGACTAAGTGTTTTAGTGATTTCAGATCTGTCCTTGGAGTGACCTCACTGCTCGTGATCAGTTGTATGTAGTCAGTCCGTCAGCTTTATGTATTTGTAATGAACTGTTGAATAACGTGAAATTCGAGAACATATATAATGGCAAACGTTTGGTATCGTTTGATGCTCGTAATTGTGTCACTTGTAGAGAACGAAATGACAGATGTCACTCGTCAGCAACACTGGGTTACTTTTGTTTGGTTTTTTTATTTTTTGCAGGGTGGTTTGTTTTTTGTTTTTTTCATAGTGTAATGCCCTGTTCATTCATAGACACGGAGGTGAAAAGATGAATAGATTTTGTTACATCAGTTCTTGTATATTTTGCCAAGTGGGTCAATTTTTTGTAAGGTGTTCATGTTTTTTTTGTTTTTTTAAGCTAGATATCTGTGAACTTGGTTGTTCAGACACTGCGCTGCAAGGTCACAGTGTGGAGTTAATTGTGAAGGTGACTTGATTTTTTACCTATGATTGTCCTTAACGTTTTTGCCACTTACGCCAGATGTTTCTTGTAAAAATCTTTTCCACCATTTTAGCAATAACTGTGGACTGTCAAACGATAACTTCAGCCTATCTTGGTTCAAGCTCATGATCTGTGAAATATGTTGGGCATTGTTTTGATATATCTAAAAAATTTAATTGTACGCAATGTAGCGGTTTGAATTTCTTTATTCTCAAGACTTTATTGAAAGTTGAAAACTGTCAAAACTGGATTTTTAAAAAAAAGTAGATGCGGTTAGTCTCAGGATTGGAAATAGAATTTGTCTGAATTTGAGATAATCTTTTTATAGATTCATTCATCCCCTCCTTTCTTTTCCATATTCTCTAGTGGGTTATCCTTTCCCTTTTTCTCCGCTGTGGTCATCCTTTTCCACTATTCCCTCAGGGGTCATCGTGCATCTGTTTCCAGTGTTGTCTTCAGAGATGCTTGAAGTTCGCGACTGCTATTGTAATCTGTCATTGCAATTTATTTGTCTGATTTTCTTTCCCAGATTTTTCATCACAATCCCTTGAGTTTGTGCTGACAATAACAGTGAATTCCTTTCATTTTTCCTGCATGCTTGGAAGCCTGGTTTCATTATTATCATATGATTTTTATCATATATGAATGCGTTTAATCCAAAGTATTTAAAAAAATAATCTCTTTTATTCTTTATCACTTGTTTTTTTTTCATTTTTTTTTTTCATTTCAATATTTCTATTTCATCTTATTACTTAGTTTAGTTAGATCTTAACTACTCGATTTTTTTATTGGCATTTCCAGGACATTTTTACAACAATCTGCACATTTGTTTATCATCAAAGATTAACGCGCTTGTGCTCAAGGCTACTGAGCTAATGCTTGCTGAGTTGTGATTCTAGTGTCTTCCTGGGTTATTGTACATGTACAAGTATTTCTTTTTTTATCCACCACCAAAGAATGGGATATGAAAAGCAAGTTAGATGCTAGGCGTGTTTGCGTTTTGGGGAAAAAATTCCTGTAGCAAGAGGAACATTACTACTGTGTTGATTCTGTCTTTGTTGATATATGCAAGCAAATTTATCCCGAGGATTTCACAGTCAAGGCTTTTTTTATGCTGTAGACGTTTGGGCGGTGCAAATTCCGAGCATGCTGGGTTTTGTTTTTGTTTGTAAGTGTGTTTGGTCTCCCTTTTCTTCCATTGTTTGCAACGCTTGAAATTCTAAAGATGTGGTTAATTGAAATAATTGTATCGTTCTTGGATGAACTGTGCTGCCCATTCACATTTTCTCTGGTTTGTATCTTGTGATTTGCTTTCGTGATGTATTGCTTGCTAAGTGAAAAACGATCCTGTTCAAATTGCTTAGTTGTCTTCATCGTCCAACTTGGGTTTTTTGTTTTTTGTTGGGGGTTTATTTTTTTAATTTTTTTTTTTTTGGGGGGGGGGGTGATGCCATAACCTACTTTTCCTCTCTTGTTGTCTCTAGCAAAGTCCAGTTAACAAATGTTGCCCCCCATAAGTGACTTGAAATGTAACATTGGGGGCTTAAAACATTTTCAATAAAGTCAGTAAACAAATTCAGAAAATTGGCGGGGGTATGGGGGGGGGGGGGGGAGGAATGCATAGTCTTTCAACTTCATTGTTATTTTATAGGGAGTTGTGGACTTGACATTCTTGGAAAAAGATTCTGTTTGTGAGTTTGTG